TCTTATAGAGTAGTTTCACTGCCTAAAAATCCCCCCCATCAATGCTTCCTCCCTCCCCCTGACACCTGGCAACCACAGATCCTTGTATTGCCTCCATAGTTTTGCTTTTTCCAGAATGTCACATAGTTGGAATCATACAGCACGTAGGCTTGATTTCAGATTGGTTCCTTTCACTTAGTAATATGCATTTAAGTTTCCTCTATGTCTTTTCAGGGCTTGATCGCTCATTTCTTTTTAACCCTGAGTAATATTCCATTGTCTGAATGTTCCACAGTTCATTTTTCCATTCATCTACCGATGGACATCTTGATAGCTTCCAAGTTTTGGCAATTATGAATAGAGGTCCTATGAACATCTGTGTGTAGGTTTCTGTGTGGACACTGTGTAGACAAGGAGTGCAATTGCTGGGTCACATGGTAAGAATATGTTTAGTTTTGTAAGAAACTGCCAACCTGTCTTCCAAAGTGGACGCACCATTTTGCATTCCCACCAGAAATAAATGAGAATTACTTATGCTCTACATCATCCCAGCATTTGGTGTGGTCAGTGTTCTGGATTTTGACCTTTCTAATAGGTATATTGTAATATCTCATTGTTGTTTTAATTACAATTCCCTAATGACACATGATGTTGAATATCTTTTCACATGCTTATTTGCCATCTATCTATCTTCTTTGGTGAGGTATCTGTTCAAATCTTTTGCCCAATTTTTTTTAAGATTTTATTTATTCATTTGACAGAGAGAGAGAGAGCATGAGCAGCAGGGGAGAAGGCAGAGGGAGAGGGAGAAGCAGACTCCCCACTGAGCAGGGAGCCTGACATGGGGCTCAATCCCAGGACCCTGGGATCATGACCTGAGCCAAAGGCAGACGCTTCACCAACTGAACCACCCGAGTACTCCTGCTATAGGTTTTCAGTGGACATTTTTTATCAAGTTGAGGAAATTCCCCTCTATTCCTAGTTTGCTGAGAGTTTTTAATCATGAGTGAGTGTTGGATTTTGTCAAAAGCTTTTTCTGCATCTAGTGTTGTGATCATGTGATTTTATTTCTTTAGCCTGCTGATGTGATGGGTTACATCAATTGATTTTTGAATGTTGAACCAGCCTTGTACTTGGGACAAATCCCACGTGATCATGGTGCTGAGTGAATAATTTCATGTACTAGCCCTGTGACAGTGTATGGTTCCCCTATGCTCTATGCCACACCCACCCACTCCATCGAAATTGACCCAGGAGAATATGATATTTTTGCTGACTCAGACTTCTAATTTGGAGGACCCCCTCCTTCCCTCAGTGGGACCACTCCCATCATTTCAGAGCAGGTAGATGTGGTCAGAAGCCCACAGTCCCGACACTTTCCTCCTTTCTCCTCTATCTCAGGGCTCTGCCCTCAGGCTCGCCCACTTGAACTGGGGGTCACCCCACACCTTATGCAACAGAGGAAGGGCAAGTCTGGATCACCCTTTTGTGGACTCTACATCCCCTACGTGGTGAGACCCTCGCTCGGTGGCAGAGCCCCCAGGCCCACACCATGTCTCCAGCTGTCTTTTCAGCCTCACTTCCTCTTACCTCTTCACTCCAACTCCCAGCCCCTAAAAATTTGCCTACTACAAATCGACAGGTGGTGTGTCCACCCTGCAAATAGGTATTGAGGGCCCTGTTGTGTCTGATCCTAAGCCCAGTTCTGAGATACAAGGCCAGTAGACCCAGTCCCTGCCCTCAGGAGCAGACAATGCAAGTGGACAGAGATGTGAGTAAACAAACCACTATAACAATGGGAGATCATTGCCAGAGCGGCGGGGGGGGGGGGGGGGGGGGGGGGGGGGGGGGGAGACAGGGGCCTTTGATAGTTCTTCGGTCTCCAGCTTCTCTGCTCCTTCTCTTCCTCACTCCTTTTAAAACATTCTTCCTGGGCGCCTGGGTGGCTCAGTTGGTTGGGCGACTGCCTTCGGCTCAGGTCATGATCCTGGAGTCCCGGGATCGAGTCCCGCATCGGGCTCCCTGCTCGGCGGGGAATCTGCTTCTCCCTCTGATCCTCCCCCATCTCATGCTCTCTCTCTCTCTGTCTCATTCTCTCTCTCAAATAAATAAATAAAATCTTTGAAAAAAAATAAAAAAAATAAAATATTCTTCCTGGATTCTTACCACTGCAAACTTGTATTCATCCTGCAAAGCTCAGCTCAAATGTTCCCTCTTCCATGAAACCTTTCTTGGTTGTCCCTTCTGCCCCAGCAGAACGAAGTGCCCCTTCATCTTTGCATTTGTAGCATTTGGTGCATGCGCCAAGCCCCACCTCCAATGCACACTGTGCTAGATGGTCCTGACCCCAAGTACAACTCCCTGGGATAGTGTGGTGTTGGTCCCTAGGGTCCCTATGTGGCCACCATGTCACTTTCTCGCTGTGCCCCTTCTTTCGGCAGCAAACGCTTCAGTCACCAGCCTTCTCCCAGGACCGGCCTCTCATCGTGGAGATTAGAGACTCCTGGAAGGCAGGCAATGGTACTGGAGCACTTTGGAGGCCTGAACAGGGTTGCCCTGTATGGATGAGCAGGGCGTGCACAGCACACGTCGAAGAGACTGCTGTTCACATCGTGAACGTGCTGGACATCCTAGATTTGTATGTTTAGTGCACCCATTTCCTGACAGTGAAGGATCTTGAGGAAGGGATGCCTCTTGCTAATTCTCGCAGGACAAGGGCCCTGGGCCTGAGGTAGCCGAGGCTGGAGGGAGCCAACTGCCTTGCTCACGGAACCACAATGAGGACACTGGGCCAGCGAAGATGGGAGAAGGGGGTGGGAGGGCAGAGCATGCTTCAGGAGCAGTAGCAGCTCCACGGTTCCCTTTGCACTGTACTTTCTGCTCCCGGTGGTGCCCACTGGCCAGGGGCAAGCGGCTACTGATTAACAGAGGCCTCTAGGCAGCTGGGTGCGGCTTTTGCAATGAGCCGTTGGCACGTAAACTTTTCAAAGTCAAATGTGGGTGAAGAGGCATCGAGCACAGAAGTTAAGAACGAGGCTCATGGAGTGTGGACAGCTGTGGGTTCAGCCCCAGCTGTGTGTGACCTCGGACGACTTAGCTAATTTCTCAGTTGCCACATCTGTGGGATGTAGGGTAGCAAGGGCACCCACCCCATGGGTAAATCGCTTAGCACAGGGAGCCTCGATTACCAGTGACCATGAAAGACTAAAACAGTGGTAGGAGGGGGGACCCGAGCAACCCCAGGGGCAGACTCCCCTCAGGCCCAGGAGACACTAGGCCTTGATACTTTTAGGAGCTTGCAAAAATGTTTTAATTGCTTTATAAAATCAGGGGAAAAAATGAATATATTACTAGTAAATATATAATAGTATATCCAGCCCGAATTATGTTTATCTTTATCCTGACACGGTTATAAAATGTAACTTTTAATAATTTCTTTATGGAAAAAAAGACCCACAAAAGCACAAGCACCCAGGGCCCACGGAAGTCATAGCACATCCCTGAGCCCCACAGTGCACATTCTGGAGGCCTTTTCTCTGGGAACCTCAGTCCACTTGGCAAATAACAATGAAGTTCTTATATGTCCCTCTCTGAGAAGGACGTAATCCAGGACAAATTCTAAGCAGATGCTCTTGGGAGCCCGTGGCCCTCCCTGCTTCCTTCCTACCATGAAGGGATTTGTGCCCAGGGGACCGTGGAAGACAAAAGCGCCCAGTTGAACCTTTGAGGCCTTGACAATGAGTGGTGAGCCAGTATTGATCCAGCGATTTGATTCTGGGTTCACCTGACTCTGTTCCAATTCAGATTCTCATTGGAAAGAGAAAAGGCTTGGCACTGGGGACTGAAACAAGCCAGTCTGATCCAGGACCGCAGGTGGAGGCCAGGGTCATGAAGAGTGGCTCCGCACCTGGCCCCAGAGAAGAAGCCAGGTGCCCAGGCCGTCCCACCAGGCCCAGCTCTCCCCTTTGGCGTCAGGGAGCAGAGGAAGGGCGCTGATGACTTCTGTGGGCGCACACGTACTGGCCTGACAGAGCATTTCTCCCCTGCCTCGGGCACTTCAGAGGTTGGCAGGGGCGGGAGGAGCTGCTGAAGGAGAGGTCCTTCTGGGCAGGGCAGCAGGAGACTCCCAGGGTCATTTCCAGGCCTGGCACTTAAGGCTTGGATTTAACCCCTTAGCCCCCGCCCCAGCCCCCCAGCCCCTCAGGTCCCTGCAGTGCTAGCTGGTGCAAGGAACCTCAGATCTCAGGGGTGGGCCAGGCAGAGGCTGTATGTGTTCCAGTCCCAGGGCGTTGAGTACGACAGAGCCAAGGGCAGGAGCCCTGGGGAAGCTGATTACCCCGCCCGTCCTGATCCGGCCCCGCCAGACCACCCAACCGGTCTTCACTTTCCTCTCTCGAGGGCCAAGTGGGGAATATACTAGCACCCACCGTGCAGGTTAGTCCAAGGATTAGACGGCGTAAGTAGGTTAATGCTTAACCTACATAGTTCCTGGCATGTGGCAAATGCTGCTTTATTTTAAAATAAATACATTATAGATGAGGTACAGAGACTCGGAAGGACCATATTGATTTCCTGTGACTGCTGTGACAAATGACCCCTCAGTGGGTGGCTTAAACCAACAGAAATGGATTCCCCCACAGTGACAGAGGCTGCAAGTCAGAAATCAAATGTCCACGGGACCTGGCTCCCTCCGGCTGCTGGCAACTCCAGGTGATCCTCGGCTTCTGCCAGGCCACCCCAACCCCCGTCTCCTCTCCACATGGCCTTCTGAACTGGGTGTATCTGCCCTTCTTTTATAAGAAACCAGGCATTGGACATAAGGCCCACCCCGAGGATCCAGGGTGATCTCCTCTAGAGATCCTTAACTTAATTACATCCACAAAGATCCTTTTCCCAGATAAGGCCCCGTTCACAGGTCCTGAGAGCTCATATTTTGCGGGGCCACCATTCAACGTGGCACAAGGCCTAATGCCCATGTGAGTTAATGGTGAAAGGAACCTCAGATCTCAGGGGCGGGCCAGGCAGAGGCTGTATGTGTTCCAGTCCCAGGGCGTGAGTACGACAGAGCCAAGGGCAGGAGCCCTGGGGAAGCTGATTACCCTGCCCGTCCTGATCCGGCCCGGCCAGATCACCAGCTCCTTCATCGTCCGCTGGTGGTGGACAGGGAGAACCGGGCAGCAGGAAATCCACACAGTGTCCAGATTCACCACGAACCTGCTGAGAGGTCCCAAGTGAGGCCAGAAAGTCTGCAGGTAGAGCTGGAACTTGAGGGAGAGTGAACTCTTCGTAATCACTCTGCTAACCCGTCTGGCCTCCCTCCTCAGCCCCCTGTGACCCGTCACTCTCAGTGAGAACCAATGCATCCGACACTGGGTGTGAGACACTCGCCCTCAGCTTAGCTTCTGGAATCGAGTTCTTTGGCTGCTTTGTGGCTGTTTCTTCACTCGGCTGCTGTAATCGCGTCTGCGCTTGATCTGGCAAGAGTCCTGCAGATGGGGCGAAAATTCTGTCGCTTGCAAAACTGTCCCAGGTTGCAATCCTGAGTTCGTGTCTTAGAGTGGAGAGAGATGACAATCAGGAGCTGAATCATGTGATTGTTTTTGGTTTGTGCACAACCTGTTCCGGTGTTGTTGTTGTTGTTGTTTTTGTTGTTTAGATTTATTTATTTCTGGGGCACCTGGGTGGCTCAGTTGGTGAAGCGTCTGCCTTCGGCTCAGGTCATGATCCCAGGGTTCTGGGATGGAACCTGGTGTCGGTCTCCCTGCTCGGTGGGGAGCTTGCTTCTCCCTCTCCCTCTGCCTGCATCTCCCCCTGCTTGTGCTCTCTCTGTCAAATGAATAAGTGAAACTTTTTTTTTTTTAAAGATTTCATTCATTTATTTGAGAAAGTGAGCAAGAGAGAGCGAGCATGGAGAAGGAGCAGAGGGAGAGGGAGAAGCAGACTCCCTGCTGAGCAGGGAGCCTGCCTGACATGGGGCTGGATCCTGGGACTCCAGGATCATGATCTGAGCCGAAGACAGACGCTTCACAAAACTGAGCCTCCCATGCGCCCCTATTTATTTATGTTAGAGAGAGAGAGAGAGTACAAGTGGGAGGGCAGAGGGAGAGGGAGAGAGAGAATCTCCAGCAGACCTCCCTCTGAGCGAGGAGTCCGACAGGGGCTCAAGCTCACGACCCTGAGATCACGACCTGAGCCGAAATCAAGAGTTGGACATTGAAAGGATAGAGCCTCACAGGCGCCCCACACCTGTTCCCTTTTCATTCCCCCTCGGTCTCCAGGACCTCACAGATGTGCGCCGCCAGCCCCGAGGGTAATGTGGTTTTATGCCCTTTGAATAGGCCGCCTCCTCTGGTCCTGAGTTGATCTAAAGCTGCTCCACCCAAGCTGGGGATGTCATGAAAGTGCCAGTTTACGCAGTGACAGCTCCCGGTTGTGCATGTAAGTATTACTAATCTCAACGAAGACTGCCTTAAAGCAGTCAGAGAGGGTTTTATTTTGTTCCAGTTTTTAGCGACAGCTTTATCGAGCTGTAGTTCACATACCGTTCAGTTCACCCACTTAAAGTGTACAATTCGCTTTTGGTATATTCACAGGTAGGTGCGCCCATCACCACCACAGTCAATTCTAGAGCATTCTTACCCGAAGAAGGAGCCTTAAGCATCACCCACTCATTCTGCTTCCCCTCAGTTCCTAATAACCACTCATCTACTTTCCTTTCCGTCTCTATGGATTTACCTATTCTGGACATTTCATATAAATGGAATCATCTAATATGCGGCTTTTTTGTGTGTCTAGCTTCTTTCATGAGGCGTACTGTTTTCAAGGTTCATCCACACTGTAGCAGGTGACAGACCTTCTTTCCTTTCTATGCTGAGTAATATCCCATCATGAGGATAGACCACATTTTGTTTATCTGTTCATCAGTTGATGGACATTTGGGTTTTTATGCTGTTTGGCTATTATGAGTAATGTTGCTACGAGTGTTCGTGTCAGCAAGTTTGTGAAATATTGCGTTTCTTTTGGGACCACAAGTAGAAAATGTGCAAATGTCCTTAAGAGAACCATGGGCACCGTCTGGCCTGCTCACCAGGAGAGCTTGGGTCATGAATTCTTTCCAGAGAGAGAAGGGACCTCTGTGCACAGAGAGGGGGTGCCTCTTAAGCGTCGGGGACCCTAGCAACAGTCCTCTAATGGTCAATGTTTTTGCAAAATTTGCAAAAGTGAGATATTCAACAACAATCAGTTAAATATTGCTTCTTTCCCTTTGGACACCCCCTCCAATTCACTCCCCCTCCTGTGGGGGGGGGTCCTGCATGACAATGGCTGCGGGCCATGCTTGGGGACTGGGGAGGGGACAGGGAGCTGTGTTTCCTGGCATGCATTTATATGGGCCATAGCCAAGTCTGTTCTGTTAAGTGTCTGCAGACAAGCCTTCCAGAAATGCTTCCACCACTCACTGCAGCTCACCCCACATGGCGACGAGGCGTAGGGTCAGAGAGGGTGCAGCCAGATGTAGGAGAAAGAATGCCAGCAGCCTGCCGGCCAGCTGATTCACTTTTAAATGATTTTTTTTAAGTTTTTATTTATTTAAACAAAATGTTTTTATGGCCCCCCGCTTTGGGATGACTTCTAGTACCATGGGGGGCGGCAAGAGAATGAGGTTGCCGTGGGTCCCGCGGTGTTGGAGGCGCCTGTGAGAACACCTGGCGGGAGGTCCCGGGGAGAGCAGGAGGAGCTCAGTGAAGACAAGTCTGGGCGCGGTGTCCACGGGGGGGCCCGGCATGCGGGTGCTTATTAACGCTGGGGAGGAAATGAGTCACGGGGAGAGACAGTGTGGGGGAGAAGTGCGGGCTGGGCTTCCTCACCAGGAGGTGGCCAGAGGGCGGATGGAGGGTCCTCTGGGTTTAGCAACAAGGAAGCCATTGGTGACCTTGGCAAGAGCAGTGTCAGTGGCTAGAGTCAGGCTGAGGACAAATCCAGAGTTTGGGGGACACATGGGGTGCCATGGTGGGAGGAACCCAAGGTGATTGGGGAGAAGGATTTTCAAAGATGCTAAGTGCCAGGGCGCCTGGGTGGCTCAGCTGGTTAAGCGACTGCCTTCGGCTCAGGTCATGATCCTAGAGTCCCTGGATCGAGCCCCGCATCGGGCTCCCTGCTCGGCAGGGAGTCTGCTTCTCCCTCTGACCCTCCCCACTCTCATGTGCTCTCTCTCATTCTCTCTCTCTCAAATAAATAAATAAAATCTTTAAAAAAAAAAAAAAAAGATGCTAAGTGCCAGAGGGCAGGAACGCACAGGGAAAGTCAAGTTCAGTTAAAATGGGGAAGAGGGAGAGCAATGGTTGCCAGGGTTGGAAGGGAAGCTGAGTAGGTGACACACGGCGGGATTTGGGGGGCAGCGAACCTGTTCCGTGTGACACTGGGCCTTTCAAAATCCCTGGCTCCAGGAGTGAACCTTAATGGAGGCAACCTTTTAAAAACTCAATGAGGAGGATGAGAGGCAGACTGTGGTGAAGAATCCTAACTGTTACAAACGCGGGGCATGGCCGGCTGATGGGGGTGCCCACCCGACATCATCTAACAAACCAGGGCTGAGCGGAGACCCGGGGATGAAGACGGAGGAACATGCTCAGAAGCCCTTGCTCGCTGCTGGTGATGTGATGCCTGGCCGTGTGCGGGCCCATGGTTCTGCGGCACCACGCGTGTGTGCCGGGACTAAATACACAAGACGGTGGGGTGGGGGGGAGTGGGAGCCAGGTCCTCGCTGTTGGAGCAGGAGTGACAGACAAGCACGGGGGATGCCCAGAAGGAACCATGTGATATGGGTCTAGAGTTGGAGACATCCCCACGAACTCGTGTTCAGCCTAATGTAAGTACAGACGATGAACACAGAAATCCTCGACATGCATAGACGCACAGGTTACTGAATTTGTGTGTGCATTTCCAGTTTTGTCCCTCGAGAGGGCTAGCAGCATGGCACCCAGTGGCAAGGAGCACACATGGCACCCAGATCTGGGTCTCTGGTCCCATGCTCAACAGCAGGGACCGGGGCTCCTTGGTGAAATGGCTGATGCCAGGGTGGGGGAGGGAATGCATAAGAGCAGCCTCCCGACGTATCTTGTCGATCCAGAGCGTCCGAAGTGCTCGAAAAGCAGAACAGTGGGGGCTCTGTCAAAGAGACAGGGGCCAACTGAAAGCCCCTGGTGGCTAACGCTAGGACAATTGGAACAACAAAATAAATAGTGTAGTATTGATAACAACTCAAAGTGTATAATAAATGTCCGTGAGTCCATACTTATGCAAATAAATGATTGATTAAGTACGTAAATTGGAAAGACAAACCTCACGTACAGAGGAATTCTAAGTAACAATGTAGATATGACCCCCCGAGAAGGTGAAGCATAACTCCCACCCTTTAAGTGTGGGCTGTGCATAGTGACTTCCTTCCAACAAGGACACCAAGGAAGTGGGGACAAAGAGGAACTCTCCAGTGGAGACACCTGGCAGACACCACCTCGGCCAGGTAACCAAGGTCAAACCAGCAGTGGTGAGTCATGTTGGTAGCAGGTACCCTTGATAGGGCATGATGAGAAGGGCACCGTCCCTCTGTGGTCTTCCTCCCAAAAACAAACAAGCCCAGTCTACTCATGAACAAAACATTGGATAATTCCCAGCTGAGGACTTTGGACAAAACACCTGCCCAGTACTCAGAACTGTCAAGGTCGTGGGGCACCTGGGTGGCTCAGTCGGTTAAACGTCTGACTCTTGATTTCAGCTCAGGTTGTGATCTCAGAGTCGTGAGATTGAGCCCGTGGAGCTTGCTTAATATTCTCGCTCTCGCTCTTCTTCTGCCCCTCCCCCTGCTCGTGCATACGCACGCGCATGCACTCTCTCTCTCTCTCAAATAAATAAATAAATAAAAATCTTAAAAAAAAAAAAAAGAACTGTCAATCATCAAAAACAAGGAAAGTCTGAGGAACTGTCACAGGCAAGAGGAGCCTAAGGAGAACACAACAACCAAATGTGGTCTCCTGGATGGGCTCCTGGAACAGAAAGAGGATATTAAGTAAAAACTAAGGAAATCAGGAAATTTGAATAAAGTATGGACCTAAGTTAATAATAATGTGTCAATATTGGTCCATTAGTCGTAACAAACATACCATACTAACTGTAAGGTATCAATGGAGGGGAAACTGGGTTGGGAGGGGGGTGTTGTTAAGGGAACTCTCTGTGCTATCTTTGTAACTTTTCTGTGAATTTAAATGATTCTAAAATTAAAAGTTTTATTAAAAAACAAAACTAAGGGGGCGCCTGGGTGGCTCAGTCGTTAAGCGTCTGCCTTCGGCTCAGGTCATGATCCCAGGTCCTGGGATAGAGCCCCACGTCGGACTCCCTGCTCTGCGGGAAGCCTGCTTCTCCCTCTCCCACTCCCCCTGCTTGTGTTCCTGCTCTCACTATGTCTCTCTCTGTCAAATAAATAAATAAAATTAAAAAAAAAAAGTTAAAAAAAAGCAAAACTAAAATGCAGAAGACGAGCTCATCGGTGGAGCTGGAGGGGGTCGGGGAGCACTGGGCCAATAACAGGGAGGACCCCCTCCCACTGCACGGAAGGAAGGGAGGGGCTGGTGCTGCAGGGTCCCCAGCAGGAAGCCCCGGGAGTTTGAGGTGCACAGCCCCAACACCTGTTTTCTCTTTGAAGCCAAGCTGGGATCCTTTGAGGGCAGAAGGGGCTGGTGGGGCCTGAGCAAAAGGAGGTTTGCGGAGGCCACTGCTGGCGGAGGAGAGAACCCAGCTGAGGACACGGCATCACCTACTGAGCTATGGAATAATGAGCATTTTGTTTTCCTACTCTTGGAAAAAATAACGCAATTGTTTTCCCCTTCCTCTCTCTCCCCTCCTTGACACATACTATCTGGGCTTTGAGGCTAGAAACTCAGGGATTCTCTACTCTGGGACAAGTTCAGTTTTTTTCCATTTCCCCCAAAAAGTTGAACTGTCTGAGGCTAGGGGCTTAGAGAAGCAGGGAAGGGCAGACTGAGGGCCCTGGAGGAAGGCTGCCTGGAGGAGGTGGGGGTGGGGCTGCGGCTTCCGCCAGAAGAGGGTGGCTAGGAGGTGGGGCTGATCAGCAGCAACCCTCGAAGCCCAAGTTCCCTGGGTCCTGTCCCAGTGTCTGGGCCTCAGGACACCTTAGGACGCCCACAGGTGGGAAGGCGGGGGCTGCAGTGCCTAATAAAGAATTTCCCTTCTCGGGGCGCCTGGGTGGCTCAGTTGGTTAAGCCACTGCCTTCGGCTCAGGTCATGATCCTGGAGTCCCGGGATCGAGTCCTGCATCAGGCTCCCTGCTCGGCAGGGAGTCTGCTTCTCCCTCTGACCCTCCCCCGTCTCATGCTCTCTCTCTCTATCTCATTCTCTCTCTCAAATAAATAAACAAAATCTTAAAAAAATAAAAAAAAAAAAAGAATTTCCCTTCTCTGCCATATGACAGGGCCCAGAGCAGATACACTTTGATTTAAAGAAAATTAGGTGTGGAGCACCTGGGTGGCTCAGTCGGTTGAGCATCCGACTCTTGGTTTCAGCTCAAGGACACAATCATGATCTCAGGGTCGTGAGACCGAGCCCGGAGTTGGGCTCCCAACTTGAGATTCTCTCCCTCTGCCCCTCCCCCTGCCTCTCTCTCTCTCAAATAAATACATAAAATCTCTAAAAAAATAAAATTGTGTCCCCTCCCAAATTCATATGTTGAAGTCCTATTCCCTAGTACCTCAGAATGTAAATGTATAGGCAGATAGGGCCGGTAAGGAGGTGATCAAGGCTCAGTGAGGTCATTTGGGTGGGGGCCCCTCGTCCAGTAGGACTGGTATCCTCATAAGAAGAGAGAGACACCAGGGATGCCCACTCATGGAGGAAAGACCATGTTAGGATACAGGGAGAAGGAGGCCACACGCACCCAAGCAGAGAGGCCTCCCAGGAAGCAAGACCCGGTGGCACCTCGATCTAGGACTCCCAGCCTCCGGAACTGGGAGGAAATACATTTCTGTGGTGTAAGCCCCCCTAGTCTAGGGCACTTTGTTAGGGCAGCCTGAGCAGACTGAGACATTAGGTAACCTGACATTGCTCGCTCTGAGAATAAGGGAGTGGCATTTATGGGGGGACAGGTATGCTCCTGAGCGCCACTGGCTTGGTGGCTGTCCAGAGGGCAATTTGCTGATGCCCTGAGTCCTAGCACATGGGTATGACCTGTGCTGTCCGTGACCACCACTCCTCTGTGAAACCTTAGCATTGGTGCAGCCTGGATCTGGGAAGAGCCGCGGGTAGAGCTCTGTGTGAGGCCAAGTTACCTTGTCCACTTCATTCATTCATTCATTCATTCATCACATATGTACAAATGCTCAGTGCCGCCCAGCGTTTTACCAGGTGCTACCGATGGGTGGCGTTATTAACTGCTTTATCATCAGTATTCTAACCCAAGGCTCAGCAAACTTTCTCTAAAGTACCAACCAATAACTATTTTTACCTTTGCAGCCATGCAATCTCTGTCTCAACTACACAGCTCTGCCTTTATAGGGAAGGCAGTCACAGACAATATGTAAATGAGTGGGCATGGCTGTGTCCCAATAAAACTTTATTTAAGGATGGAGAACTTTGAATTTCTAGTCTTACGTCATGAAATACTGTTCTTCTTGTATTTTTCTTCCGACCCTTCAAAAAATGTAAAAACCAGGGCACCTGGGTGGCTCAGTGGGCTGAGTGTCTGACTCTTGATTTCGGCTTAGGTCATGATCTCGGGGTGGTGGGATCGAGCCCTGAGTCGGGCTCTACACTCAGGGTGGAGTCTGTTTGAGATTTTCTCCCTCTCTCTCTACCCCTCCCCGTGCTCGTTCACTCTATTTCTCTCTCTCTCAAATAAATAAATAAATCTTTTTAAAAAAAAATGTAAAAAAGATCTTAGAGCCCAGGCCATAAAAAAATGGGTCTTTGGGTTGTAGTTTGATGACCTCTATTTTAGTAATAAAAAAAAAAATCCATCAAAACAGATGAATAGGGCGCCTGAGTGGCTCAGTTGGTTAAGCGACTGCCTTCGGCTCAGGTCATGATCCTGGAGTCCCGGGATCGAGTCCCGCATCGGGCTCCCTGCTCAGCAGGGAG